TCTTGCTCCTAGTAGTAAGGCCAAGAGCCTAGTAGCGTCCCTGCTCCTAGTAGCGATGCCAGGAGCCCCTAGTACCTTCTGCCTCTTAGTAGTAAGGCCAAGAGCCTAGTAGCGTCCCTGCTCCGAGTAGCGATGCCCTTTGTTCCTAGTAGCTTCTTGCTCCTAGTAGAGCCTAGTAGAGTCCCTGCTCCAGTAGTAAGGCCAAGAGGAGCTTTCTTGCTCCTAGTAGTAAGGCCAAGAGCCTAGTAGCGTCCCTGCTCCGATGCCAAGAGGCGTAGTAGCTTCCGGCTCCTAGTAGTAAGGCCAAGAGCCTAGTAGCGTCCCTGCTCCTAGTAGATCCCAGGAGCCCCTAGTAGCTTCTGCTCCTAGTAGTAAGGCCAAGAGCCTAGTCGGGTCCCTGCTGCTACTAGTAGCGATGCCAGGAGCCCCTAGTAGCTTCTTGCTCCTAGTAGTAAGGCCAAGAGCCTAGTAGCGTCCCTGCTCCGAGTAGCGATGCCAGCCCCTAGTAGCTTCTGGCTCCTAGTAGTAAGGCCAAGAGCCTAGTAGCGTCCCTGCTCCTGGTAGCCAGGAGCCCCTAGTAGCTTCTTGCTCCCAGTAGTAAGGCCAAGAGCCTAGTAGCTAGTAGCGATGCCAGGAGCCCTTAGTAGCTTCTTGCTCCTAGTAGTAAGGCGAAGAGCCTAGTAGCGTCCCTGCTCCTAGTAGCGATGCCAGGAGCCCCTGGTAGCTTCTTGCTCCTAGTAGTAAGGCCAAGAGCCTAGTACTCCTAGTAGTAAGGCCAAGAGCCTAGTAGCGTCCCTGCTGTTAGTGGCGATGCCAGGAGCCCCTAGTAGCTTCTGGCTCCTAGTAGTAAGGCCAAGAGCCTAGTAGCGTCCCTGCTCCGAATAGCGATGTCAGGAGCCCCTAGTAGCTTCTTGCTCCTAGTAGTAAGGCCAAGAGCCTAGTAGCGTCCCTGCTCCTAGTAGCGATGCCAGGAGCCCTTAGTAGCTTCTGGCTGCCAGTAATAAGGCCAAGAGCCTAGTAGCGTCCCTGCTCCTAGCAGCGACGCCAGGAGCCCCTAGTAGCTTCTGGCTCCTAGTAGTAAGGCCAAGAGCCTAGCGTCCCTGCTCCGAGTAGCGATGCTAGGAGCCCCTAGTAGCTTCTTAGAGCCTAGTAGCGTCCCTGCTCCTAGTAGCGATGCCAGGAGCCCCT